TTGCGGTTTACACTTCAGAGCCCTGGGGGCGAGGATGTACGAAAAACTAGGGCTTTTAGGGTGTAGGGTTTAGGGTTGAGGGTTTAGGGTATAGGGCCTTTCCTCAGGCCTCCACATTGCCCCCATGCTGTTGAAAGTCTCGCTGCAGGGAGTTCCAAAAGAACACCCCCACGACTTCTGCATGCTACACTTATGAAGCTTGAAAGATCGCCGGTGGCTTTGAACTGCCAGTCATATGGATAGTTCTCTAAATTGGGGTCCCTTTGCGCCCTTACAAAAAAAAGGGACCCGGAAAGGGACCCTAATTTAGAGAACTACCCATAGATGATCTTAACGAGCTGGATCCGTGAGGCTTAGGGTTCCCAAACTTCGGATGTCTGGCCGCGCCTAGAAGGGCCCACGGCCGGCCAAATTGCAGGGAGTAGAGGACCAAAGAGGGCCGGTGAGAAATATCCCACTCTGGGTAGGTCAGAAAGAAGAGCTTCGTGCCCCCAGGGCGATCCGGAGTCGCAGGAAAGCGCTTGAAAGCCAGCTGAGGCCTGTGAGAAACAGGAATCATGGACGAAAACTGCTCCAACAAGTCCGGGAACAATATGAAGACGAAAAAAGAAGAATAGCGACATACTCATGTAAGAAAAAGCCATGGAGTAGTGAAGTGCACAAGAGCAGGGTAACAAGTTAGTCCTGCGGAATACAGTGATCCAAAAGACTGCCAGTATAAGTGCAAGGATCACCCTTGTTTGCCACCCCTTCAAAGCAGAACCAAGCCTTTAATGTCATTACTAGGCCGCTTTCACACTGCCACTCCTGGTCTCCTGGATGTTCTGTTCCAACCACCATACCCCTTTAACCCTAAGAACCCAAGCCCAGGAAAGCTCTCAAAAGTCTAGCCTCCGGAGGAAGCTAAGATGCGAAAGCCGTGGCCAGGAATGAAGGGTCAGAATGCCCATCGAGGAGTGCGGCGAAAGGAGGAGCCACTGGGTTCCATTTAGCCTGCCAAGGGCTCGGTTTAGGGTTGAGGGTTTAGGGTTTGGGGGGATTTTAGATGGGTTTAGGGTTCCGGGTTGAGGGCAGCCCATGGCTCGGGGTCTCATTCAAGCCCGTCTTGTCCTATCTTCCCTGAAACTCCCGACTTCTAAAGAAACCTCTAGACCCGGTCTCGAGACAAAAAGCCCTAAACCCGCAATCCTGTAGCCAGGGTTTGGGGTTCAACCCTTCCAAAGAAAACCCTTCTAAACTTCGAGTACTCTCTGGAGCCCTTGTGCCACCCTCAGCAACGCCTGCAAACGCCTAGGGTTTAGGGTTTAGGGCTTAGGTTTTTAAACGGTCCTACGGACGCTTTTTGGGCCAGGATCCTCTTCTCCAGCGACCCGCCGAGTGCGAAGGTGCCTCGAAATGCTTCCTCCACCTTTTCGTGGAACTCCTGCAAACTCCACGGTTTAGGGTTTGTTAGGCGGGGTTTCACACGCTTTAGGAGGTCCTGCAGTTTGGAGGCAAGTTGTAGGTCTAGGACCTCGAAAAATTGAATTCCGAAGCCGTGTTTTGTATTGCTGAGGATCTTAGGCACAAGGCGACGGTCCAAAACTGACTCTAGCATCCTTCAGCATTTAGGATTTAAGGTTGCCGCTGCACCGACACCATAAGAACGACAATGAAAAACATACTTTGGGGCGATAAAACTCGACGGTCCTTCAGAGGCCTTCGATTCACCTTCATGGCCACACCTTCAGCTCTCTCGAGATTCTCGCCGACGCTTTTGCAGAAGGGGGAGTTCGAGGGCTCGCCCATGAACCTGATTTGAGGGTGTAGGGTTTAGGGCTTCGGGTTTAGGGATTAGGGATTAGGGTTTAGGGTTTAGGGTGGTTGAGGCTTTGGGGCTGAGGGTGGAGGGACCTGGGTTGTGGTTGAAACAGCCACCAAAATGGGGGTTTCCGAAAATAGGGGGCCCTAATGTAGTACCCTAAATAGTAGGATCATCCTTATTTTCAGGATCCCAGAATAAAGTACCCCTTGTTTTCGGAAACTCGCAAATGGCCACCTAGCAACTTCTGAAAAGTGAGCAGCCCAGAGAGCTCGAACCACAGAATTGTCTGGAACACGTCTTCGAAACAATAATCGTGATACACGATGGTTTCCACACAGCACGGGATGTCGCGCAAGACATGGAAAGTCTCACGTGCTATGCTTTCGAAATCGTGCTGGGCATCGATGACAACTGCTGAAAAATTCTGATCAACCAGGTTTGCGAAGGCAAACGGCAGCAGAGTGTCCATGTGAAGCCGCACAATGTTGGTGATTTCACTTCCGTCCTTTCTGAGCAGCTTGTTCGACTCCAAGTGACAGCATCCAAATTCATCTGCCAGGTCCCAATACTTCTCGATGGCCACAACAACTGCAAAGTTGACAGCCAACGCAGCAGTTGTTGAGCCCCTCCCAGCACCGATGTCCAATGCAGCTCTGGTTGCATACTTCTTCGAGGTGAAGAGGTCAATGATGTCCTGCTTGAACTTCACCTTGCAGCTCAGGGCTCATCCTGTTGCCACCGTTGCACCCCTGCCGCGTTCTTGATCATGCGACGACTATGATATTATTGCCACCCAGTGTTTGCTTCCGCTGTTGCCGAACATACTGCTATCAACCTACGCTACGTATGGCAGTGTCACTGCTGTTTTGCTTTTCACTAAGAAAGTAAGTCCAGTACAGCTAGCTGGTGTTCTCCATGCTGATAGGCAGACCTCTCAATGCTCTGTGTTGCCGCTTATACTTTTGGTCACCCTGCTTGCTGCCACGTCTGCTAGTAATGCATTCTCTTATGTGTATATCACGGATCTTGCAGTTGTTGTTGGTGGATGGTGCTGAAAGGTTGCTGTTGGAGGTGACGGTGACGATGAACGCGCTCGTCTTCGCCGCTTGTATTGCTGATATTGTTGTTGCTCCTGCTGGCAGTCTTGCTTATGTTGCATCTGTTGCAATTGCAGGTAAGTCGGCCAGTCTTTTGAGTCTTTTGGTGTTGAGGTCACGGGTCTGCAGTGTGCCGCCTCCGTTTGCGAACTCCAGCCGAAGCTCTCAAACTCTGAAATTTTCATGCGCATCTGCTGGCCAGGCGACGGTGGTAAGGCCCATTTCCAGTGTTTCCCTGGAAAGCTTTCCATGCAAGCATGGAGCATCCAGCCAAAGCCAGAGACTGAGCAGGCAACCGCGCCAGTCTCTCAGCATAACCCGGCGGCTGCAACAGAACGAAAGCTCGGGCCTCTTAAGAAGCGGCAACTTGGAAAAGGAAGGCAGTTTCTGGATGGCCCTCAAGACATCGGTGGTGCGCTCCGTGAAATTTCATTCCAGCACAACTACACCGGAATTTCGACTTCCGGGATGGGCAGCCCTCAAATGCCCCTCCAGAACCCCGAACCCAGGCGCCACGAAACACAGATGCCGATATTCCGCAAGCTTTGGCAGCCACACCCGAATTGCAGTCAAAATTATTCAAAATTACGTGTCGAAGCTAAACAACTCATCCCAAAGTTCCAAAAAAAGGGCCCTTCTTTTCATGTGAAACCCTGGAGCTCCACGTCCCCTGGCTTGAACACGGGATTGCGCAGCCATCTTGAATGTGCTGCTGTCTCCATTGTGCAACATAGAGGAACGGCTGCATAGCAACAGCAGGATGCACAGAGGAAACTATGCTATGTCTGCTATGTGCAACTTGCCCACGACAAAGAACAATCCATTGTGCATTCTGCACGGAAAAAGAGGCAAGTATATTGCAGGCCCTCCCTCCAACTCCTTTGGAGTCGAGAACGCTCACTCGGATTCCTTTACAACGATTTGCATCCTGCGTGACGAACTCCCAAGAGTTTGCGCCCCCATCCTTCTGTATTCCCTGTCCTGCCGAATCTTCTCTCTGCACTTCTGCTTCTCCTTGTGGACGTAGTACTGTGTACAAAGAAAGCGCACGAGTGCCAATCCAGCAAAGAAGCCAGATATGATGACGATGCCACTGAGGTCCTCGGCACCAAGAGCGAGAGTTCTTTGCTGCGTCGGCGCATCGCAGATTGACTTCGGAAACTCGTGAGAGTGAGCCCGCATCTCGGCTTGCATCGTCCCCTTCGCATGCTGCGAGGCGGACGCCCATGACAGGCTCCTTACGAGCCTCTCGCTGGCCGGGAATGCAATTGGCACACTTGTGAGGACATATCCAACCGCGATGAGGCTGCAGTCATTGCGAGGATTCCCCTCAGAGTCCTCACAGAAGGTCCTGTTTTGTTTGCAGTCAGCCTCGAAGATCCGGCCTGCGTGCATTCTTGATATGATCTGCTCCGACACAATCATCGCTCGACAGTTCCCTAACTGCATCTCGCGGGGGCAGAGCTGAATCTCTTTGCACGAAAAGATCTTCAACTCCCCGTATGTATTTTCCACAGACTTACGCAGCACATCAGGTACACAGAGCGTGTACTGTCTTGCAATGGCATCCTCAATGCTGCTGATTTCGCCAACCAGCTGCCTTTCTGCAACGAGCATGCTTGCGAGACTGGCTGTGTAGGTTGCCAGTGTAACGATGCTGAAGAAAGCAAAAGCCAAGGAAAACATTTTGAAGGCTCCCGGTACCTTGTCGCCTTCATAGATCATGTCTTGTCCAAGAAAATGCGCCCAGACATCGTACCAGGTACCCGCAAGCAGGTGCAGATTCTGCCGCAAGCTTGCGAATTGACAAAGGTTAGACCACTGAAGCAACTTCAACTTCTTATTAGCTTTCAACCCAGCTTCCAGCTCTTCCTCGTGTCTTTGCTTCTTGGCATGATTCAAAGCTGCCTCTTTTACCGTGCTTTCTGCTTTGGCAAGGGCTTCGGTGTTTCGTGGCTCCAAGCGTGCTTTTTCCAACTCCTCTCTTGCATGCTCCAATTTTGCGAATGCATCTTCCATGTCCAAGTTTGCCCACTCTACCTTCTCCTCCAAGAACTCGTCGTACTGTCCTTGCTTCTGGCAAAGGAGGGCAAGCCAAAGAACCGTGGACACAGCGGTGAGGTAGGCAAGCACGGTCATCCACCCCTGAAGTGTAAATGGGGAGAAAGGCGTTGTAAGCCGATCATACAGGCTAACCTGTCCTGCCGTCTTACGGACCACCAGGTAAAAGTGATCATGTCTCAATGCTGGCAGGAACTCAACCAGAAGCGCGCGTTCTGGTAGAACCCACATATCTGAAACGCAAAGGTCCAGGTTTCCAATGGCGACGTCGTGAACACAGGCTGTGTAGATGCTCTCGTACCTCGCCAAGGATTCTGCCATGGCAGGCACGTCAACCACCTGGATCTCGGGTTCTGGCGCGAACTCCTCCAGAGATCTCGGCTTAAGGAGTTTGGTATTTCGGCCCTAGCCTAAATAAACGCTAAACCCTAAACCCTGAAACTCTTAACTCCTAAACCCTTAAACCCTTAACCCTTAAGCCCTAAAGCCCCTAAACCCATAAACCCTAAGCACTGGACCCCAATCTAGCTGCGGGCCGCTGGAGCTCCTCCACGCACTTCCTGAAGAAGCCGAAAGTCGGTCCGGCGTAGGAATGGATCGAATCCGAAGACTTCACAAGAAAGGGGGCCTGTGCAGGGTTTAGGGTTTAGGGTTTAGGCGGGTCCTTATTCTAAGGATCCTACTATTTTAGGGTACGACAAAAAGGGTCACCAAAAGCTGATCATGGGCTTTGGATCTGTGTGTAACGACTTCGTCGGGCAATATACCATCTTCAACTACATCAAGCGAGGATGGTAGCAGTGCGGCGCCTACGATTTTACGTGGTGGCGCAAATGGAAACACCACCGCTGACACGTTTCGCTATCCAATGCTGCAAATTGCGATGCGACGCATACCCTTGCTGATGACTTTTCTGTGCCTCGGCCCTAAACCCTAAAACCCCAAACCCTAAACCTATAACGATGTAAAAACCAGGCACATATTGCATCCAGGGCTCCCACTCATGCACCGCTATCTTGAGGACTGTATTCGCCACCGGTGCTTGAATTACTCCTGTCCTGTTGTAAGTATTGAGGAATCCACATGTTTCGTAGCCTTGGCTTTCCAGACATGTGGGCCCAACGAAGCGTAGGAAGAACTCCAACTTTTAGATTTGGAGACCCGCGCAGCCAACAGAAATAGTCGTTGCTAACAGTGGGCAATTTTCAAAAACCATCTAGACAGATGGGATGTTACATCCAAGACCCCTAAAGATCCCACGGAGGGGACAACAGTTTTCAGAACTTCCGAGTAGCTCCAGTGGCTGCTGGCAACCGTTGACTGGAAATGGGGTCGTGAACGGCAGAAAGGCGACTCAGCACTGCCCAACTTGCTTCCGGCTGCTGCACATTCTTCCTGACATCTCCGGCCATGGATAGGTGGCACGGTGGGTGGAACCGTTTAAACGGCTAGACTTAAGTTAAACCTAACATCTTAGAACAAGCTGACTTGCAGATGCGAAGTTCTCGATTCATGGGGCAAAGGCTTGTGTCCACGTAGCACCACTGATTTTGGCAATAGTCGTGGGCATTGTCAGAGCAATCGATGCCAGGATGACTTGCACCCTGATCATAAGCCTGGCATCCCTGAATGCCATAGTCGCTGGGGAATCCCGCAGCAGCCAGATCGTGTTGCAAATTCTCATAACCACTGGAGCTGCTGCCGATGCATGGGCATTCAGGCTTGCCAGCTTGTCCGGCGAAGGCAAATTGAGGCAAAAGAGTCACAACAAGAAGCACGATTGGCTTCATGTACAATCACGCGATGATTCGTCTTGAGACTGCACAGAAGCATGGGAATTTCAACACAACTGGAGGCAAGTTTCTTTTTCGAACATCCACCATGCAATCAAGACTGCATACACATAGTCCCATGAAACCACCTTCAACACCCGCAATTCGGGAGTCTTAGCCCTTTCAATGGTAAATGCGCCGCTGCGAAAGGCAACTTGTCAATTCTGTTGAAAAGAAATCACTGCCGTGCTGGCATGCACCGGAATCTTCAACCTTATCATATTAGGAAACAAATGCCGTGACCACAGAGGCCGGCCCATAAGCACATGTCGCCGTGTTTCGTCGTTGCACGTTAAGCGTCTGCTGACAGGATAGATCTGGCAGAAATAACATAACACAACATAACATGACATATCCTAACCTAACCTAGAAATCAGAACAGAACCGAACAGAGAACAGAACGGAACAGGACGTAACATGACAGAACATAGCATCACAGAACAGAATCGAACAAACAAGACAGAGCAGAACATTCATAACGCATCTACCATACATAACATACCGCACCTTTAATTCGCCAGAAGGCCACGAACTGAACTGCACTGCTACAGGGGAGACTTGCCAAGAAGAAAACGCAGAACTCTCGCTGAGGCTGAAGATTCACGCATCATTTGTTGCAATCCTTGGGCTGTGGTGGACAGCGCTTACAGGGTGGTAACGGCGACATCGTGCAACATCAGCTGAAGATTCAAACATGACTGTGTCTTGCTGCAGTCTCGGGACCGCGGCGATCAACTGTCAGTGCTGACAGTTGATCTGCCATATTGACGATTTCAGTTCTACAGTTCTAAACTCCAAAGATGCTGCGATTGGATAGTTTCAAACAGTAATTGGTTGATCTAAAATTTTGGCAGCGGTAGAGGCTGGTTTGGTAAGCAAGTAGCAACTCCATGGCGAGTTAAACAATAGACTTCGGTGCGCACGACCCGAAGCAGTTGTTTTTCCACTCAAAGACGATGTGCTGTTGGAAAGACTGGAATTGTCGTTTTGTGTCCAATGGACAGTTGGCACTTCATTGATGCACTGTGCGAGACAGTCAACAAGTTGCTCATTTTAGCAAAACTTGGAAGACCGTGAATCAGTAAAACCCATAAATTTCTTTTGTGTAGATTGTTTACGACGTTAGGAGTCATGGCATTTCCGTGGACAGTTGTTTTTGGCAGTTCTCTTTTCGGCAACTTTCAACAGCCTCAGTGCAGAACTTGTTTGGCCGTTATCAAGAAAAGAAAAATTACAGTGTAAACTTTCTCAAATTCTGGGCAAACACTTTTTTCTTGTTCGATCACTTGCTTGCGGATTTATACTAAAAAGCTGGCGATATCAAGTTGAAACATCTTGAACTTCGTGCCGCAATTTCTACTTGGAAACAAAATGTCAGACTTCCTCTGCACTCTAAACTGAATGAACCCCAACCATTGCACCTACATCTCTCTAGGATGCAAGCAATAAGAAGCTGTGTTTGAGTTGATTCTACGTTATTGTTATCAGCTCTCAAGCAATGTATAAATAATCGCAATGTGTGGAACGTAGGAGCAGCAAGACGTTAGATACTATGGCGTGCTGTGCCACTGGTGTTAATACCTTCGCATCCAAACGCTCAAAGACATCAACACCTAGGGCATGCGGCATGGTTGAATGAATACCGTTCCGACATAAATGGCTTGGTGTCTTCGCATTCGGTGCATCTGTGGAACCTTGCTGCTTCGATATATGCCTTGTCGATCTTGACAGTCCTAAGGAAGTTGATTAATACCTTCTTAGAGCAGTGGCCTAATCGACGATGGAGTCGGCGAGTTTTTTTAGAACAGAGGCCTGCTCGCATCGTGCGACACACGGTATCCAGGTATCCCATGCACCGTTGGAGAATCCAGACGATTCTACTCCGTTAGCTGCGGCGACAAGGGCATGGGTCTCGAGGTTTGAAGTAGGAGAGTCCGTTCTTACTTCTGCGGAATCTTCGTTTCCACAAGAGACGAGCCTAGACTTAAATTCGGGTGTGTGTCTAGCTCAATACGCCCGTGAAAATCTTAATGGTGTCTACCCACTTGGAACGGATAGATACGTGGCCGTCGTCAAGTAACTCCTTCAGTTGAGCTCCCTTTATTGGAATAGCAGCTTGAAAGTCTCCATACTTTCGCCACTTTTTCCTCTCTCTGGGGAGGGTGTTGCCAGCTTCTACTCTGTGATAGCTAAGAGGCTGGTTTCAAGACATAGGTCAGAATTCGATACTTACAAGCCTCGTCGATTCTGTGGCTTAGAGGCAGTAGCTCAAGCGATCTTAGGGGCTCTAAAGTCTTTGCAAAGGCGCTCTAAAGCCGCCCGCCCGCAAGCCGTTCGGAAGCGCGACGGATCGTTGCCCAACAGCTTCGGAACCGTTTTCCAGCAGACTGCCGACTTCCTTAAGAAGCTTCCGAGCAGACTGCCGACTTCCTTAGGAAGCTTCCCAGCTGCTTGCCCAGCAGTCTTCCCAGCTTCCTTACGAAGCTTCCGAGCTGCTACCCCAACAGACTCCCGGCTGCTTGCCAGCTTCCTCAGGAAGCTTCCCACCTGCTTGCCCAGCAGTCTCCCCAACTTCCTTACGAAGCTTCCGAGTTGCTGCCACGTGCTGCCGCCGGAACAGAGCGCACGCGCTAGCGCGCGCTGCTTGCCCCTCCTTAGCAGCTCCGGAGCCCTCGGACTCTCCCTCAAACAACTCCGCAGCCCTCGGACTCTCCCTCAAACAGCTCCGCAGCCCTCGGACTCGCCCTCAAACAGCTCCGCAGCTCTCGGACTCGCCCTCAAACCCTCAAACAGCTCCGCAGCCCTCGGACTGCCCTCAAACCCTCAAACAGCTCCGCAGCCCTCGCCCTCAAACAGCTCCGCACCCCTCGGACTCGCCTTCAAACCCTCAAACATGCCTCGGACTCGCCTTTAAGCCCTCAAACAGCTCCGCAGCCCTCGGACTCTCCCTCAAACAGCTCAGCCCTCGGCTCCGAGTGCGGCCTCCAGCCTCCAAAATGGACAGACATTCTAAGTATCCAATTCTGACCTATGCCTTGAAACCAGCCTCCTGGCTATCACAGAGTAGAAGTGGTGACACTTTTCCCAGAGAGAAAATCGTCTAAAACGCCTATGAGCTCTTGCCCAGAAGCCCCCCGAGAAGAGATAACTAAGACACCCTTGAGACAAACTTATGTGGCGTTTAGCTCTTGTCTCGCTTGTTTCGCCTGTCTCCGGCCTACCAAGCTCCCCAAAGACAACTGACACCGGTTTCATTTGGGCATTATTTCGGACACCAATTCTGGCACTACGACCGCTTTGGCCTCTCCTCCCCTCCTGTTCCCCTTCTCTTGCCCCTCTACACCTCTCACAGCGCCTCGGACCCCACAGTTTCCCTCTGGGCGCCTCACACTGGCTCAA